TACCGACTGGGGGACCCCTTTCCAAAACAGGAAACACGGCGGGATTATTCGGGCGAGCGCCTAGGGTAATGAGAGAATACACAAGGGGAGGTCCTTCCCCTGTAGTTCCCCAGCCAAGGAGTTGGCAAGCTACGGAACCAATCTCCTTTAACCAAAACACTCCTACAGGAGCTAAGGATGGAAACCCCCAGGTAGAACAAGCAGGACAGATCCCGGCTACTCCAAGTGTGGACCGACGACGTATTCACGAGTGGGGAGCCCGAGTGCAAAGAGCTGAACTAGGGGAGTATCACCGGGGGCAGATTGAAGGGCACCTCGCAGCAAGGTGCCTTAATGGCACCTCAATGGGCACCTCATGATCATGTCAAGTAATTGACAAACATAGTTAAATACTGTTGATATGTATCTTATCCGATTGATCTGTATCTTTTAAATGGAATGCAGAAAGACAGGAATTTCTCCCACTCCCACTCACATTCTCATTTAAAAGTTCGACAAAAACGATTCACAACTACACATCATTCAGTTGCACCTTTACAATGCCACCAAAGCCAAAAGTTATCTGCACTTGCAGTATTTGTTCCAAACTGACATGTGAAAACAAACATGGAATCCGAGTTCCAGGCCGCAAAGTGAGTCCACAAACCCGAAATGAACACCTCAAAAAGGATCGAGAGTCTAGAGATAAGGGTAATATTCCCTTTACTCCAGAACCACCAACAGCACCATCCTCAGAAACTAGTGGTAATCAGTTATCAGAGGAAAACACTCCATCCCAATCTCAAAAGGTTCCTGATCTCAGTGCAGGTATGTCATTCAAACTTTGCCTGTATGAAATCTTCAACTCCAACTTCTGATATTATTCTAGTGATAGAACCTGTATTTCAGATGTGTTGGCTCTTGGCTGCATGGCTTAGTCTTTGTGCTGGTGTGAGCAGGAAGACTGTCAACACAGTCTTGAAATGTCTCCACTTGATCATAACAACAATTTTGATTCTCATCTACACCTCTCTTCAAGGTTTAGGCTATGGAGTCAGCACTGCCATTCCTAAAATTGATATTCCAAAGGATATCCGCACAGTATATGCCCGTGCTCAGTTAGAGCCTGAACTTGTCCGCATTTTTTGCTGTCGAACATGTTTCACTCCATATCCAGCAGATTCAACTACTAGAAAGTGTACTTGGAAGAAATCACCTAGGTCAAAGTCATGTGGCACTGATATGTGGACAACTAGGCATACTAGGACAGGGCTGAAACAGATTCCAAAATGCCTTTATACAACTCAGGATCTTGGATCCTGGCTCAAGTTTTTCCTCAGCAGACCACAAATTGATGAATGCTTGTCTCAGGCATTTTCCAAATTACAACAACCAAACCCTGTTCATCAGGATAGAATGTCTGATATTCAGGACAGTCCAGCTTGGCAAAGCTCAAAGGGGTTTCTCACCTCTAAGTATCACCTTATCTTTGCTGTCTATATTGATTGGTTCAATCCCTATACCAACAAAATTTCAGGTAAGCAGCCAATGATTTTGTGCTGTGACTTGAGTTTTGTGGCTGATAAGTGAGATTTCCAGGAAAAGTTGTCTCCTGTGGTGCCATTATACTGTACTGCCTAAATCTTCCTCCAGAAATCCGGTTCCTTCCTGAAAATGTGTTTATTGTTGGAATGATGCCTGCACCACATAGTCCCACTATATGGACTATATCACACATTTTGGTATCTTTCCAGAGAGCTATTGCTGAATTTGACCTTCCTGGAAAGATAATTGCTACACATTCACATCCTGGTGGAATCACCATTGCACTCAGGCTTATTCCTTTGATTGCTGATTTACAAGCAATCAGAAAAGTAGCTGGATTTTTATCTCATGCGGCAGGCTTATTTTGTTCTTTTTGCAACTGTCATAAAGATGACATAGAAGATCTTGATTATAATTCCTGGCAGATTCGGGATGGAGCTACTGTTCGTGCTCAGTGTCATGCCTTGCTTCTCTGGACCTTTCCCTTTCCTTTCCAGAGCTCCAGTTCATCACTTATATATGTTTCCGATATTCTATGCACCATCCTTACGATCTTTACTGTACATATTACCTGTCACTCCAGTAGCCACATGACATATGTACCTGACAGCCTCATGTACAGTATATAGGCTGGGGACTCCCCTCGGAGCTCCCCAGCGTGTTATTGTCAAATCTTACCTGGCTTGGTCCCTTTAGTACAGTCTACTAGTACTTGCTAACAGGGCCTGACACGTCTCAACAGTCATATATTTCCTCGTTATCTGTTTCCTTTATCTCTGTCTCACCTCAACTCTGTTTCTCCTCTCTGTTTCCTATCTCTGGCCTCTTTCTGTCAATCCTCGTATTGTCTACGCCTCTACTTCGACTCACCATCTACGTCGAGGCTCTACAATTCGTCCTTCATCCTTTGGAACCTCCCATTAGGTTCCCAATTCCGCTTTATTGCTCCCTAAGCTCCCCACAGCTTCCCACTCGTATCGGCTACACCTCCCCTCCACATCGAAGCGGTGGTTACGTGTTACGTTCTACATCTCCAGGACCCTCTATTAGGTCTACCCAAGCTCCACAACTACCCCTGGTTAGGCTCCCCTCACCAGTATCGGCACTATCCCATACCTCCTCATACGGCCTAGGCGGCTACTGCGTTCGCTTAGGCCCAGTCTGGGTAAGACCAGAGCAGGCCTTCTGTGCCGGGGCCTCACACTCAGGCAATGGAATAGCAAAATCTTGTTACTGTCACAGCTAAAGAAACCCTTGCACGGCAAACAGGGGTCCGATGGACACCAATGCATAATTTTCCATACTGGAATCCTGCCAAATATGTTGTACTTGGTTTCATGCATAATTTCCTGGAAGGCATTCTTGCCTTCCAACTCAGGGCTCTATGGGGTATTGGACGCACAAAGGAAATGCTTAAGAGTATTACACAGATTCTTGATGATGAAAGTTCCTCAAGTATTGACACTGATGAATTGGTTCAAGAATCTCAGGATCTGGAAATTGAGGCTGAACATGCTAGTCAGCATGAAAGTGCTACTGGGCTGACTGAAAATTTTGATCATATGGATGTGGATGATGAAGGAGGAGAGGTGGATGATGAACGTGAGCCAACCCCCATGCCACAACTATTTATACCTCTTGATGATGAAGGAGATGAAATAGATGAAGATTTTGTACCATTGGATGTAGAAACAGCTTTTGACTTTACCCCTGAACAACTGGGTAGTATACGGAATTGTATACTTCATGTCTTGCTTCCTGCTTCAAGTGACCGCCCACCCTCAAACCTTGGAGAAGCTAGCCATGGTAAACTCAAAGCACATGAATTACTTGTATTGTTTACTGTCATTCTGCCCCTTATTATTCCGGAACTATGGTGGAAAGGCAATGAAGTAGAAACAAAAAGACTTCAGAGTTTCTGTGACCTAGTAGCATCTACCAATATAATTTCTGCATACTCAACTTCAAATGTAGATGCTGACAAATATATGTATCATTATGTCAAATATCGGGCCTCCATACAAGATTTACATCCTGGATTCAAATCTATGCCAAATCATCACTATGCAATGCATGGTGGAGATCAATTGAAATTCTGGGGACCATTGTCATTGCTCTCTGAGTTTCCAGGAGAAAGAATGAATGGTGATTTTGGACAAATTAAAACCAACAAGCATTTAGGTAAGTTCCTTTCATACACTATACACTAGGGAAAATTATGTTTCTAACTTCAAGTTACATTGTAGGTGATATGGAATTTACAATGGTTCACAAGTCAGCCTGCAAAGGAAGGTTAGAAGCAAGTCTTCATGATAACCAGTATGCAAATCCTGCAACACAAAAACTAGCTCAAATTTTGGAGCCCAAAGATGTCATTGCATTTATGCACAATCCAGAGACTATGACTAGACAGCAGATTGCTAAGGCTCTGGCTGATGGAACAGTTTTGAGCAAAGATCATTATGCTATCCTTCTGAAATACCTGAATAACTCAGGAAGAGAATACAAATCCGCTTACACAAATTCCCGCTATCCACTGGGGACTTTGATTCTTCCAACAATGGCACAAAATCACACCCAGATTCCATTTAATAATAGTACCTACAGTTGTTACAAGTCTCATGAGGGGCAGAGTCACATTCAGTTCTATATTCCAGGTGGCTATGGAGGTGCTTGGGAAACTGGATATATTGAGACCATCTGGGAGCTCCCCCTTGAAGGTGTGAAGCACACTTTTCTGCTGGTGCGAAAGCACCAACCTCTTTCTCCAGCTCAAAATACTAAAAGTCCTTATTATCATCACCCTTGCTCCCTTTTGAATGCAAAGCTAGTGAGAGACACACCTTCTGATCACATCTATATTCTTGAGCCCCGGCATATAATCACTCATCTTACAGTATATAAAAGACCAAAAGGAACCTATGGTATCAATTCATCAGATATGTTGGCTATCTGCTGGGCCTTGAACAGAGGGCGTAGGTAAAATATTTGGGGACTTGCATAAGATGAACATATTATAATGAGTACATGGTCCATTCACAATACTTATTTGATTATACTCTGAAGAAAGTGGATTTATAACATTGTAGCACACATTGGAATACTTATACAAACTCAACACAGCAATCAAATAAATCAATGTCTACAAAACTTGTATGTTTGCCAGAGTGAGATTACAGTAGTGCTTTCCAGCACTCAATGCACTAAATGCAAAATCAGAAAATACATGACTCAGGTTTTGCAGATAAAGGTTTTCCACCAAATGAGTACGAAAAATAGATGTTGGGATATATGTACAATAAGGACAAACTTCAGAATAAATGATAGTAGTATACCCAGCCACAGACTACAAGTATAATGAGGTTCTACACAACACAAAAAAGACTTGTAAACAATAATATTCAGTATATTCCCAAAGAAACAATGGCATTAGAAAGAAAAATTGATTAAAAATGATACCCACTTGTTGAGGCACTTCATACTGCCTCACCCTCATCCCCATCCTCATCCATAGCATCATCATTGTCCAAAGATGTATCTGAATCAGACTGACCATTCTCCATTGCTTCCAACTCCTCCTTTGTTGGGAACTTATATAGCTTCCGGACTTCATTCCCATACTTCTTCATGAAACTATCCTCCGATAATAAGCCCCATTCAGCTACCTTCAACTTCTTTCGCTTCTCAAAAGGTGGTAAAGCAATATGTGCATCCACATAACGCTTCCGGATCTGGGTGGGAAGAGAGTTGAACTGCTCCGGCTGAAACCAGTCAAGAGCACAATTCTTCGGGAGCTTCCTGAAAATTGACTTCTTATTGTCCGGATGAGGTTTCCGTGTCTTCTTCTTGTAGGAATGTCGTTTCGATCCTGACAATTCAGCGACTGTGCAGATACCTTTATCAATTTCGTGTGTGATGAAATGTGATGTATTTTCACTGCGAAGGTTCTTCACCAATATGTGAAGCGATCCATCATCGGCATCTTCATCTTCAGAGTTACACTCAGGCTCTGCAATCAAACTCTTGATTCGGCTATTGAAACCTGAATCTTGAGCATACTTGATACGAGATTTCATAAGCTGAGAAAAATATTTAGATGAAGGAATCATGAATGAAGACGAAGAGTAGACCTTTTTCCGCCGCTTGTACATTACCCTTTTCACTGCATCAGAAGCTAGTCTTCCTTTCTCCCTTGACTCCTTCAGGATTGATTTCCTGAGATGTGAGTAGACGTAGTTCCGGTAGATTTGGCAGAGAAATGCTGTGTTATGGATATACTCTAAATTCGGCTCGAAGTATACATAGCCTCCGTTCTGTAATCCAAGCTCAAAGCTTGAGATAGCAATGCTTTCTATAGCAAGGTTGTAAAATGATGTTGGCGAAGCACCAAGCACATCAGGACGCCACTTCGTGAGACCAAATGAGCTCAGAACACTGAATGTCATACGTAGACTATGGCCGCTAACTTGAGCAACTGCACTCGCAATGGTTCCAGGATCTAGCTGGCATGTTTTTCTGTCATGCCCTGGCTACAACCAGACCAGTCCCAGTACCCGCCACACATTGCCATACATCCTACCCACCTCTTGTATGTCCTCTGCACCTCCCCAAGGACCACCAGACACCTCCCCAAGTATTCCTGACGCAACTACCCAAACGTCCTTCACCCCGACACGCGTACAAAAACCCTCCTAACCGATAACCCCTTTAAGTATTAATCTCGATTACCTTCCTCCCCCCGATTAGCTGCCTCATGCCTCCAGATGTTCTCTTGTTCACTTCCCGTACCTATTTAAGTAATGCCGCAATGTTCTGAAGCCCCAGCTTGGTATATTTTGAATACACACCCTTTTGCATAGGTCCAGTCCCTGTCCCTTTGTACCTGCTAACCATACGGATTTCTCTTTACTCTCTGTTTCACTACCTCTGTTTCTCTCAACTCTTGTCTATCGTCTCTGTGATTGTCTATACGATCCAATACACGCTTTTACTTCACGTCTAAGCAATCCGAGTGAGTTCCCGAGCTCCCTTGAACAATATTAAAGCTCCCCAACGCCTACTGCCTTGGTAACGTCAAAGCTACCCCTCACGTCGAACTACGTACTGCTTCTCCGTTACCACCTCCCACACTCGAGGACGTCCATCCTCAAGCCTAGCCCCCAGGGACCTACCCTCCCTGGCACATCCCTTCTCGGGAGCTTACACCCTCGAGACCCATTTACACATACGACCTACTCGATCCTATATTGATGTTCTAGCGAGTACAACTCCTACTACGCAATATCGTACGGTCCCGCACTCTTCCATAACCTCCCTACGCCTTAGGGACCTCCCTGGACCTCCTAGGAACCCCCTCAAGGGTCACCATCTCGTCGTTCCAGCCACTACTAGGTCATTCCCGTCCTCGGTCGCAGTTCTCGTAGCTCCCTTCGAGCTCCAGCCTGCTCCTAGCACGCTACAACATAAACCTCCATATACCAAAACCTACCCTAAGACCTATTCTGACCCAGGTCTTACATTATACCAAGCTCTCCCATCACTGAACGGACTCGTTGCGACAAAATGTCTGCGACGTCAACGGAACGACCTTCTAGTTCCAAGATCGAACCAAAGAAACAAAAGAGCGCCTTATCTCGTGGAAACACGACACAAGCTCAAAAGTCGAACCAGGCTGCTAGCTCCACTGTTATCACGGTGGCAGCTGGTCAACGCCTGATGTCCATCCCAGAACAGTTGTTCGGGGATGAAACCGCTAGCAACATCCGGACCCCCGAGGGACGTCAACCGGCAGTTGAGGAGCCCCCTCCAGTGGAACTTGGGATGGGACCACCACAACAGAGGTATACTTCCATGGGTTATGCCCAACCTGCCAGTAGCCCCATGGGAGGTTTCGCCTACTCCCCTACCTGGGGAATGAGAGGACCTCCCCCTGGACCAGTACCGCAGCTAGACATGGAGTCAGCTTCGAATGCGGGTGGAAGAGTCAGCGGCCAAGTAGCCGCTATCGAAAGGATACAAGGGGAGAGTACTGACCCTCTTACAGTATGACAACAGGAGAAACTTCCAGAGAGGAGAGTATCCCCTGCCGTATCCGAACAGTCTCGGACATCATCCTGGAGGTTACCAACCCCCCCGGTACAGTCCCTTAACCTTCCTCCCCCGAGACGAGGAAGTTCACTCTCCAGTCTCCTGAAGAGCCCAGCTATGAATACGCCCAACTGGGAGCTTACCCACGCAATACACCATAGCAGGACCAACTTCCCAGTACAACCGTTGTCTGAAATGACATTGCGTCTGGAAGACGTCATTCGAATTCAGGAGTGTATCCTGGAGGATGTAGCTATGGTCCTAAGGGAGGTATTGGAGTCGATGGGGGTCGAAATATTGGGAGACGGCCTCGAATTCTCAGACTTACAAGTACAGTTCCTGACAGTGGGAACTCAACTGGAGATAAACCTCTCAGAGAAGGCCCAGCAGTGGCTGATGACTCCCGCGAACCGATCAGATTTTCTCTGGCTGTACAACATCCTGTTGGACCCAGAGAGGATGTTGGAACTGTTAGAGGCAGAGGCACGTTACGGGCGATCGTTCCGAAACTCGAGGGGAATACTTCCCCTCCTCCCTCATACCCATGGAAGGGAAAAGGAATTCTGTGGAGAAGCGGGGCTGCGTATATTGTACCGAGCCTCTAACTACAGATCAGGAGCTGTACGATTTGAACCTCCCCCTTCGAGGGTTAACATTCCGAACTACCAAGCGATCCAAATACTTCGGAACGCAAACCTGGCGGAGGCAGCAGCTAAAATCGATGAGGAAAGTAACGACGATGCTAACGCAATCGCTGCAAAAAATCGTAGACACAGGAGATACACCACGGCTCACCTCCTGGCCCCAGTGGAGTCAATGCCTGATCAGGATAGTCCCGTCCGGGTCCGTAGCGGACAGACGGTATACACGTACACGCCCATAAGGCATATGCACCAGCTCCTGGTGAGGAGTGAGGAATCTGAAGCGATGTTGTGTTCGCAGGAGACCCGACACCGGACGTTACTAGTGGAATCAGACACTCTGATGCTGTCGGAGGAACTTTCTGGATCGAATCTAGAAAGAGCTTTGGAATTCCGTCGCAGACTGGTCGCGGATAATCAGGGAACCTCATATATGGTTCAATGCGAACCAGAGAGTGTAGGGGAGTTCCCTCCGGAGCAATTTGACCAGAAAAGGCAGCTCCATGGATCTGATGGTCGTTTCCTGGCACAGAATCATTCATTGCCCAGGAATATCGAGGTTCCTGGATTCCTTAACCCTGGTAACACGGCCACGAGGAGCCCCCAGTTACGCTCGGGGACCTCCCCCACTGTACATGCCTTGGCTCAAAATTTGACTCCTCCCCCCAGAGTTAACCTGCAAACGAAACCGGTAACTCCAGTTTTGACGCAGCGATACCAGTTTGGCGAGGTAAGGATGGATGGCGAGCAACATTCATCCCGGATCTCCGGACACGATCTGACAGCTCGGTTGGTTCCCAACCCTGTACACGTTCCTCCAAGACTGAGCAATCCATCAGTCGTGCCCTATCAAGGGTCGGTATCGATGCAGTCTCAGGTAGTGGGAATGGAGAATCAAAGGGTTCCGAACCAACGAAGAATGCGGGCCATGCACGAGGAGGTGGCACCCCCGCAGGGAGCTCCTTTTGGAACTCCCTTTGTAACGGGAGCTCAGACGAACCAACCTGGCATGGTTGTCGACTCGGCACGCTCTCAGGAATCGATAGCAATGATCCAACAACAGGCTCGGGTCATTGAGATGCTCCAGGAACAACTCCGTGAGGTAAAGAAAGGATTCACAGCGGGGGAAGTACCGACTGGAGGACCTTTTTCCAAAACAGGAAACACGGCGGGATTATTTGGGCGAGCACCTAGGGTAATGAGAGAATACACGAGGGAAGGTCCTTCTCCTGTAGTTCCCCAGCCAAGGAGCTGGCAAGCTACGGAACCAATATCCTTTAACCGAAACACTCCTACAGGAGCTAAGGATGGAAACCCCCAGGTAGAACAAGCAGGACAGATCCCGGCTACTCCGAGTGTGGACCGACGACGTATTCACGAGTGGGGAGCCCAAGTGCAAAGAGCTGAACTAGGGGAGTATGTGAGACCAGAAGGAGGAGTGTATGCGTTGGAAAACGAGGGAGGAGGCAAAGGCGGTTTTAACCCCCCTCCTAGAGTACCTCCCCCACATTTTTCTAGTCAATCGAGAGATCGAGAACGACCTCTGAGCCAAGGGGGACAGGGTCAAAGAGAACAGGGAGGAAGGAGCGGGGGAGGGGCACCACCCCCACCTCCTCCTCCTCCACCACCTTCAGGGGGACCGGGTGATAGTAATTCGGAAGGTTCCGACGAGGGGGAACAGAACCAATCGAGTAGGAGCGGTGGAAGGAGAGAGGAGGACAGAGGAGAGCTCCCCACTGGAGCTCCTGAAGTACCTCCCACACGCTATGACCCGGACCAACCCTGGTACTACGATCCAAGACAAGGTTGGCACCGTAAGGCAGCTCCTAGAAACCCCAATGAAGGACGGAACACTTGGGAGAGCAACGAGGAGAAAAACCAAATTACCATCGAGTCAAAACTTGATGTTGGTAAGATCAAAAGCTTCGCAGGTGACGACCGGTCTGCATGGAAGACGTGGGTCCTCAGTTTGGAAAGGATGTTTGGAGTACGTCCTACCATCTATGCTCGTGAAAAGGACAAGTGCGCTTCCGCAGCTAGTCATCTCACTGGTGCAGCACTCTCCCACTTCGACACATTGAATCGACAACGACTGAGGGGGGAGTACACCTGTCTCGAAGACTGGACAGAATTCAAACGAGAATTCGGTTCCAAATTTGGACCCATCGACGAGGCGGACGAGGCAAGGAGGAGGTTGGCCTGGATGAAGCAGATGCCGGAGGAAAGCTTCGCCAACTTCTTCATTCGCTTCAACGAATACACTCCTCTGACCGGGTTTAACAACGAGGCTCTGGTAACATACCTCAAGAAAGGGGTAGCTCCCTGGTTGCCTCTACAGGTTGTTACCGGAAGGGAGGAACCTCGATCCTACGACGAGTGGACCCGAGTGTTCACGAAGTTGGACAGAGCTGTACATGCGCAAGCAGAGAGTTTGAGGAACCTCCATGGTGAAAAAGCGCTGCAAGGATGGCTGAGTTGCTTCCCCGGGTTGGAGTTAGCACCTGAAGCTCCTTACAAGTCCCCCTTCTGTCAGGAACGAGATCCAGCTGACGTCTGGACCACCAATCCGAAACCAGCTGTGACGGGGAGGTTCCAAAACAGGTCCAACTGGAAAGAGGGACGACAAAGGGCGTCTGCAGCTTGGGGGGAAGGAGAAAGTTACGATAGCGAGAATCGAGGGGAGGACGAAGACTGCTGTCACTGCAGGGATGGAGGAG